TCCAGCATCACATCCTTGTACAAAGTCCTCTGAGCATCATTCAAGTCCTGCCACTCCTCCCAGGTGAAGTCCACAGCCACATCCTCAAATGACACCAATTCCTGTAATGGCACATTGATCTCAATTCAAGCCACCAGCCCTGGGTCACAAAACAGGAATCTCAGAGTTCACACCTGTGTGTGTGTGTGTGTTTGTGCGCACACGTGCATGAGTGTGTGTGTCTTATGTATTAAACAAGATGCTTCTTTTTGGTGCTCCATATGGTGGAGAAAAAAACCCAGCAGGAATATCATCTTACTGTAATAATATAATAATTACTAAACATATGATTCCAAATCTTACCTTATAACTAAGGACCATCCCTGTGGCTAGTGACAAAAGTATGAATAAAATGGTTCTCCAAATTGTTTACAATCAGGTATGAAGACATAATTGTAAATATATAACGGAACCAGTGTGTAAGATAAACACAGAAATGTATTTTCCATGTGAACCACATGTTTTCCTTAATATAAGACAACAGCAAAACTGCAATCACAAGACCAAAGGAAGATACCCCATGTTAGTGGAACTACACACAGCACCATGTCTAGGTGAATGCTTGTGAGCTGTGATAACAAATACACACACTACTTTAAAAACTCATTATGAAATGATTCTGCATTTACATATTTGGCCATTTCAAACAGTAAAGCATATGCAATTATTTTTTAATTACTTATAAACTGAAGGCACATACAAGTGCTTTCCAAAATTTCCTTCCTACATATCAAAAAATTGCTTGTGTCTGCATGAGACTGAACACTGCCAGTTTTTAAACCACAGGGTAATTGATTTGTATTTCCAAAATCACATAACTAGATTTACAATTTAATAGCTATCCACTAGAAAGAGAATGGAAAGAACCTTAGAGTCAGATGGGAAGAAAACAGGGTGATGGAAGACTAGCTACATTAGAACATAGAGCAAGTCTGGTCAGTTAGCTCACTTTGGAGAGCGTGGTTCTGGTAACACTCAGGTCACAGGTTCAGATCCCAGCACTGGCCACCCAGTAGGAAAACAGAAAAAAGAACAAAAAGAACACAGAGCAGTATGCATCCAGAAGACGGATGTAATACTACAAAAAAGAGAAAGAAAGGGAAATAAAATGCAGGAAGACACTGTGGTATTAAATTCCTGTACAGAAAATAAAAGTGTTTTACTCTCAGGCTCTCTACATAGTCATAGTTAGTTAGGTAGTGGCACTCTAAAGTGTAAATTGAAGAATGGCAGAAAAATATGATGGGCAGAAATAAAGCAGACTTGAACACATTATACTTAAAATATCTGTGGGAATGTCCAAATTGCAATCAGATACATGATTCCAGAGTTGAAGTGAGAGAGACCTAAGCTGAAGATAAAGATTTGAAAATTTGTTAGTTCATTTCCGGTGCTTATAACAACATACCTGGAACTGGGTGATTTGTAAGAAAATGAAATTTACTGTTTACAGACTCAAAAGCTGGGAAGGCCAAGGTCCAGAGAACACAGCTGTGGAAGGCTGTGGTGGAGACGACAGTGAACCAGTGGTCTCATATGGCAGAAAATGGCAGAGTAGAAACAGGCTAAGCTCTCATGTGTTCTTCTTTTAAAACCCTCAGAAGCACACTTCTGCCCCCCATTATTAACTGATTTCTTATGGCATGATCTTACAATCTAATCACATCTTGAAGGCCCCAACTTTCAATGACCATAATTGGATTTCCCACTATCTTAACATTGTCAAGCTGTGGGTCAGGTTTTGGGCGGACATTCAGTACAAGGAAAGTATGAGAATTTCAATGTTACTTGAAGACCTCAGAATAAGTGAACAAACCTAAGAGAGTCCAAATAAAAAGAAAACAAATGAAAACCAAAAAAGAACAAGGACAGAGTCTGCAGAAGCACTTTATTGTTAATCATAAGATAGAGGAAATGAAAGACTGCAAAGAACAAAACGAAATGTTCTAAATTTAATACACCATTAAAGGAAAGCTCTGTATTAAGAAGTCTACCAATAAAATAATTCATCTTATGTTTACTTTTATTATTATTATTTTTTTTTGCATTTGGCCCATTTTGAAATCTAACATATTCATTGTTCTATTAATGAAATTCCTTTAAATAATTACAAGACATTATAAAGATACATGGTGGGAGGGCAACTGACCAGTATAGGGTTCAAACTATGGTCCTTGATATGACTGGCTCCATACTCTCATGAACTTCATAGACTGAACACAGCTGAGGAAAAAAATCTCTTGGCTTGAGGATACATCAAAAAATTAATAACTGAAAAGCATACACACACAAGAAAAAGACAAAAAAGGACAGAACATAATATCCGAGGACTGATGGACAATGACAAAAGTTGTAACAAAGAGTAATGGGGAAAAAAAAAAAGAAGAAAACAGCAGAAAAGAGATGGAGGGGAAAAAATAGAAGAAACATTTAAAACAATAATGTCTAAGAACTTCCACAATTTAACATCAAGCACAAAATCAAAGATCAAGGGAGTTGAGATAACACAGAGCCAGATAAATGCCAAAAAGCTACATCTTCATATGTAGTTCTCAAACTTCAGA